GAAATCTTTCCACCATACAACCACTAAACTGGCGCTAATATTTTCCGAATCCGAGCATGTTGCTTGCTGGGTTGTTGCTGATACTTTTTTAATTATTATCGCACGAGAAATACTTCGTTTACTAAAGTCATATGTGATTGTTTATATTTTCACAACAACATTATATTATTGGCGTTGCGAAACTTTCACTTTTTATTGTTGTTGTTATATTTGCAATAATTATTGCAATTGCAACACTTTAATGCCGTTACGTAGGTGATCTGAAGTGAATTCGTAAACATACAAGCACTAAGTCAGTACTAAATTTATTCCAGTCTCTTTCGTATGAATCACTATTTTCAAATTTATAACGACAGTTAGCCGAATTAGTCACAGCSTCTCATTAAGAAAATGGGATGTAGTAATCACATGTTTGCCAAGTTTTAAGCTCGCAACGCATTTAGTTTGATAATTTCCGAGACCAGGTTCTTGTACTTCTTTGRCATTATAACCGTGGRTCGGTCAGAGCCGAGARCATATAACCTCRCCAGTTGCCTCTATCCATTGCGGGGACGCGCTAATAGTATATCCCAAGTGCAGCYAGATTCCTTCGCATTTGGTCTTTCCATTAGACACACTTGCCTTGCCTATCCATGGGTTCGAATCGAAGTGATTTTCGCAGTAGCCTCGTCTTTCATGCTTACGACATGGCCTGACCAGCGCATTCGTTCGATTTTTATGCGCTTAACTATATCCATGTCGCTGTAGAGCTCATACAATTAGCGATTCCATCTTCTCTCGTCCTCATCTCTCACGCCGACAGTTCCAAAGACCGCGACTGGGAATTTTAAGAGATTTATAGAGCGTAATTTTTGCTCGTCGAGAGYGGGATCTGTTTTTAAATTGTGYACTGATCAACTGTTGGCAATAGTYATTTTGCGCTWKATCTCTAGGCTTAGATTGTTGGWKGAGTTTATGCTGGTTCCGAGATAGACAAAGCCCTTCTCTACAAATTTAAAGGTGCCAACTGCAACGTAATTTCCAAGAGGCGGAGATTCCTTGTGTGTGTGACCTCCAGATTCTACGCTTTACACTCGTTCTCTATAAAACCAACCTCTTTTACTATTTTTCTAGGCTGGAAAAACTTGCGCTGACGGCTCKGTTGTTAAGGTCTGCGACGTAAATATCATCTGTGAAGCACAGTTGGTCTTGCCCTTTTTCCAG